TCACCTCCACTGATTGAATTAACTTCACCCTATTAGCTAGTTGGCAGATCCTCCTGAGGGCCAGAAGTAGATTTAGTACCGGAATAAGATTGACACACGTTTCAGCAAACATCTTTAGTATTCACCTTTATTTGTCACAAGAACTCGCTTGGCTCCCCTGTTATGTGCACACTGCTCTCTTCATCATTTCTCCTCTGGCAAATACTCTGAAAATATATGTTTATAATACATTTAGATATCACTCAGTTAAACAGTCACCCCAAAATCAAACACACTTATTTTTCCTTTTACCTGTAGTGCTATTTAGCTATTTATATTGTTTTGCGTTCCGTGAGTTGCAGAGTGTTGGAGATATCGGCCATAGAGATGTCTGCCTTCTCTCCTGTATAATGGAACTAGATGGCACTCAGCTTGTCGTGCTCAAAGTCCCAAAAACTACATTTGAAAATGATGATTTCTGGAAAGAGACATTACTGTTGAGTTTTTCAAATGTATTTTTTGGCACTTTGAGCACCACAAGCTGAGTGCCATCTAGCTCCATTATACTGGCAAGAGGGCAGACATCTCTACAGCGGATATAATCTAGACTGATAGATAGCACTACCGGTAAGATGAAAAATATGTATTTTTGATTTGGAGGTCCCTTTAAGATATGATTTTGGCTGAATCTGTCATTCACTGGAGTTAAAGACACACCCCTCTTCACAGCCAAGCATGGACTGATTAATTGATGAATAATTAATGAATATAAGTGGATTATTATATGCTAGATATGTTAACAAGCTCCTAGTAACTCCACTTGAAGTTCGTCTAATGAAGCGAAGATCCCACATAAAGACATATGTAACAGCATGGATTTATGTAAGAGGTGAGTCTGGCAGGAGAAGGTAAATAGTCATGATGCTGACTTGGCACAAATCCACAGGGAAAGTGAACAAGTGAAGGCCGTCCCACTGCATGTCCAAGGCTCTGATCTTGAGAAAATGAACTATATGTTTCTGTCTTGTTCAAGCACAGAGATCAGTTAATCCAACAGAAGTAAATCCATACATCACTGCTTGTGTATGATCCCAGTCAGGTGTGGAAAGCATCAGATGTCTTGATACAAGTCTGGATTTGTGACACACACTGATTTTCACGAGATCTTCCCAGAAATTCATAAACTTTTCCTTAATGAAATAGATCGGGGTAAAAGATGTGCCAGAAGCTCAAGTAAATGAATAAATCACAGGGAGTGCTACACAGAGATGCCCTGTATAAAAACTGTCTTGGTTCCTTTATGCTGCCTCATGCATCACTCTCCTTGGGGATTGGATGATTGTAGGACGGGCTGTGGACGTTGCCTGAGTTGGGAAAAAATGAAGGTATGTACGGGATGACGGACATCAGAGGACTGGTCAGCGGGCCCTCATCTGAGGAAGGCATGGGGATGATGATGTCGTCCTGGTCCCACACGTGGAAGGCATTTGGGTGGGAGTGGCTGAGGGCAGGTGGCATGTGCAGAGGGCTGACTCCCTCCACCTCCCCATCTTTTTTCAGATCCTCATGGAGCGGGCCCAGCAAACAGTCTGTGGACGGATTGAGAATTGTGTTACATAATCATTTATCTCCCAAAAGTCCCTCTCTGTCTTGTTTAGATACCACACAGAGCTGCTGCAGAAATTAAGAGCAAGCTTGCTGACATACTCCAGCACTTGTGCTCCATCTCTTATAGAGATTGCTAGAAAAGGATTTTGTGTTACTTCAGAAATATTTATTTTAAAGACAACATAGGTTTTTGTTAGAACAGGATACCCTTATTCACCCTTACTTAAATGTCCTGTAAAGTCTTCATTTTGAGCACCATAAATGGTACAAAATAATACGAAAAACAACCACACTTAATGTTAAAAACACTGTATTAAATTGTAACTAGTACCAGTAAAAGAGACAGCATCACACCTGCACTGGCGTCCCTGCATTGGTTACTGGTCATTTCCAACCCTGGGTCTCTCAGATCCTTAGACAAGCTGCTCCTGGCTGTCCTGCGATCGAGGCTCAGGGGTAACGGCGACAGAGCATTCGCAGCAGCCGCCCCAAAGCTTTGGAACAGTTAACCATTTTCAATTCCCCCCTCAGTAGACATTTTTACGGCTAAGCTTAAGACCCACATGTTTTCTCAGGCCTTTGAGTGTCCTTAGGGTTTCATTGTTTTATATTTCATATTTCACATATTACTCTTCTGTGTTTTATTTTCTGTCTTTACTCATTTATTAGTGCATGCTTGTGGAATAGTACTGTTATTTTATTTTATTGCTTTTTGCTGTTACCATGTTATGTAGTTTTATCTAAATTATTTTATTGTGCAGCACTTTAGTCAACTGTGGTTGTTTCTAAACATGCCTTTTAGATCACTTGATTTGATTTGATTTGATTTTGAACAAAACATGCATTTAATTTTAATGAGAGGAGAATCGATATTTGCCTCCATGAGTTTATGGAATTGAGAGTCTTGCACTGAATGCTGAGGTTCATCAGCCCTGTGTCTTTTTGTAATTCAGCAAAAATTCAGAGAGTCGGATGTCTCAGGCATTTGCTAATCCTGTCCCAATGTGCAGACACACCCCTCATATTTAATGAATGCTGGAGCAAACCAAACTAACACCTGCATCCCAGTTTATAAAAAAAAATAATTAAAAAAGTTTACTCTTGCCATCACAAGCTCCAAAGTGCATCAATATATATTTGTGCTAGGGCTGAACAATATTATACAAAAACAATATTACTGCAAGTATTTTGAAAGACATTGTGACATGAGTTGTGATTTTAGTTGGATTAGTAATTCTGCAGTTCATTTTTACTGAAAAAATAAATAATTAAAATTGATGATGATGTGATTTTTGCTGGGGTCAAGCTTGTTACCTTTTGTCTGAAATGATTTGTAGGCTGTCTTGGGGGAGGTTTCTCTGCAGCACCACAGTGCTTCATTTACAATGATTTGTTGTGACACATTTTACCTTTATCTAAAAATGTCAGCTCCTGTGGTTTGAATGTTGCACTTGGCTTTATTGTGATGTCAACATCATTTCAATTAATTGTGCAGGCCTAATTTGTACACTGTTGTCATGCAGTATCAAACTTGTATTGATATATGATGATACAGCAGAGATTGTTCAACTTATATACAGATCAAGGGGAGTTCTAGTACAACCTATGTTCAATGAACATGAGACGGCTACATCTAATAGACTTGAGTACCTGTTAGATCCAGCATGAGGTCTTTGATGAGGTGACCCACGATAGCGTAAGCCACAGCAACGACAACCAGAGCAGCCACCAGAAGGTAGAGGACAGATTTAGGGAGCTGGATGATGTCCCTGGGTGGAGGCTTGTACTCCTTGTACAGAGGCTCCACATTTTGGACCAAGTACTGGAATGAAAATCCCCCTTCGTTCGTGTAGTTGAAGTTGTCCATATTCCCAGAGTAGTAGCTTCCACTTCATCCAAGGAGTAGTTATTGCATTATATTCAAAGTTTCCCAGTTTGATTCATCCACTTGCTGCAGCGTCACTCCATAAAATGCAGAGAGGCTGATTCAAAGTTTACAACTTCAAAACAAAATATTTTATCATTTAATATACGGCAGATGGGAGAGTGCAGCCACTTCAGCAACGTGAAAATATGCCAGTAAGTAAGTTCACCCACCTGTCAAGACCAGGTTTTTGCAGTTTCCATACTAAACACATTTGGATCTTTGCAGTGCAATTTCACCAGCATGTTTCCACACAGCATTAATTACTAATTACTGGCATCATGTTGTTATAATCACTTCATCCTCCACCAGCCACCAGGACCGTTCAGACAGCCTCTGCGCTCCTCTGCTGTGTGCTGTATGCTGAAATAATCCAGGCTATGGGCAGGACACAGAGAGGCAGAGAGAGAGGGAGAGAGGAGGGGAGGGATTACGCTTCCAATCACAGCACAGATCAATCAGTCCCTCATCCCAGCCCCGTCCCATCCCACACAGATTACTTAATCCACAACAATCTCAGTAAATGCTTCCCCCCCTTTAATGCTCACCCACATTATGCCCACTAAAACACGCAGATGCAAAGAAAATACTCTTTACTAAGAAATTCTAAGTTGTTTTGACGTCATGAGAAATCTTTAAATCATAAAATAAAATCCTTCAGACTTCCTGACTGGAAAGGCTGAAATTAAGTCAAGCCCTACTTCCGGATTTGTCTCTGATCTACTCACAACTGTAATGTAACTTCTTATAATCTCTCACTGGTCTCTGTAAAAAGATAAATGAGGTTTTCTGTCCATATTCTAAACTTAATAGGTGTTTCACTGAATTAGCAGAAAGTACCTGTGTCCTGAAAGTTTTGAGGTTCAGTATTACTATTTTCTGCTACTTTGCACCTACTCGATGTAATCCTCAAATATTATTTATATTTAATTTAAAATGACATAAAATAAAACTCTTAAGATGGGCTACTTTGGGGCTGGATAATGCGCATTTGTAATATTTCTTTTTTTTTTATTACAAGACTTAAATTATAATTGACTATTTTACAGTGTTGTATTGCTAATTTATTTCTCTTTTCAGGTGAGGTGAGGACATTATTATTTAATTTAAATTATTATTATTTAATTTTAACCATGACTGTAGCTACTGTATATTATATACAATCTATGATTTGACAAAAAACAAATAAATAATTAAATAAATAAATAAACAAAAAGAAGAACAAAAGAGATTTTGTTTTTTGAACTGACAAAGTGAACATCAGGTAAATAATAACTGCACATAACGTTATAAGTCAAGTGTGAATGACCCTAAAATACATGAAGACTTTAAGGTGACAATATTAAAATACGATTACATAATAAAAAAAGTAAAGACACAAGATTTAAACATACACAGAAATAAAGATAGAGAGTTAGAGGATAGATTTAGCATAAAAACGACATCAAGGGTCTAACGTTCGTTCTAATGGTTGCCAGGGAGACGGTACATTAGCACTTAAGCAAACTGGCTAGTCGGCGTAGATAGCTAACTTAAAGTTAATGTTATATTTATCAAACACTACGTTACCGGCCTATGACATTGTAAGCATTTTATTGCAACATACTATACCGTCATTACTACATTAACTCTGTGGTTTGCGAGTTTGAAGCTAAAGGTAATATTACATTTTACAGCCAGGGTGGGTTAGCTAAAGCTAAAGGTGTCTGTTAGCTGGCTAGCTGAAGTTAGCTTAGCCATTCCCTCTGGTTAACCGTACATTATTCTCAGAAACGGGCGTTTGTATGTGTTTCTGCTGACGTTATGTTTCAACAGGTGTGTTTTTATCTAATTTAGGTTTGAGCTTGTCAGGAGACACAAAAGAAAATGGACTTACCCTCTTCTGACCTACCGTCCACCTCACTTAAAGATTCACAGATGGTAACGTTAATGTTAGAAGGTTATTAACTTATGTCACAACAGTTACTTAAGACACAGGAGTCCTATAATATGCTTTTTTTAACAATACAGTAACGTGTAAACTAATGGGAGTATAATACTGTTGTAGCAGCCTTGTGTTTCAACCATAAATGGATGTCATGGTTTATATAAAAAAAAATATGGGGACTGCTTTTCTGGGATTTGTAAAATCATACTTGTAAGTTACAGTTTATGTTTATTGTCAGCCACCTGGTGATGATGTAAGAGTTGTTTTTCATTGTCTTTGGCAATACAGACAGAAGACTCAAACCACAGTCCATCAAGAGGGAAGTCCTCGAGCAACAGTATGACTGACACTGGAGAGCAGCACACCAGGTACAGCATCACCTACACAGTCCAATCATCATTCATATAGGACTTACTTTTACCTGGCCAGTTCTGTCCACTTGCCCCAGAATGAACTCTGTTGTTTCTCAGTGAACAGGATGTTTTGGGTTAAAGCCACATTCTACCTGCATGTGTGTGTCAATATCTATTGTAGCTCAGGTATAGATGACATCAGCAAGAGTGCTCAGGAGCTGGTGATAAAGATAAACGACAGCCGCACCAGTGACCAGAAAGTGTTCAACAGCTTCCAGGAGAAGTTATTGAAGAAGGTACAAGACTTATTTAATGCTTTTGGTCCTATCCTGTTTAGTGATTTTGTCACCCATCTTACCATGTCATTTCTTGGCTGACATGTTTGGCCTGAATGCACTTCATACCTGAAAGTAAAATGCTAACCTTGGAGGGATACCTACTCTGTTGTTTGGTGTGTCTTGTGCTCTCCCTGTGCACTAATATTCTAATCTGATCAATGGATTGATTTGTTTTACCTCACCTTTTGTTCCCCAGGTGACTGAGATGTGTCAACAGATGCAGGAGCACATGTACAACGTCTATGAAGAGAACAGTAATGTGATGCAGGTGTATCTGCAAGAGTTGTCAGACGTGCTGGAGCGCTGCAGTCAGCTCAACAGTGAGCTCTTCAACGCCAGTCAGGCACTAGAGAGTCTTAGAGGGGGCCTGGCCATTAGCCATGCATCAGAACCCTGAGAAATTCCTGCTCTGGTGTCTGTATTATTGATCTAGTTCATGTGTTCTTATTTTGTAATTTTATGCAGAGTATTCAGAATAGCTGACTGTCCAAATGCTGTAGACTGTCTTTGCAGGACTGTAGTTCAGGTTACGGCTCATGATCACAGTCAAAGAACACAAAAACAAAAGCTAAATCCATGCTTAATGTATATTCAATTTTAGTGTCTATTAATTTATTAAATAAAAGTACAACTAACAAGAACAAAATAGACCAAATTATTTGGCTCTCAGGTGTTACACCACAACTTAAGAAGTAGCACAGACATGCATTTTTAAAGGTGTACAATGCAGGATTGTCGGTAACAAGTGAAAGTAAAATCCAACCCCTGATTTACACTTGTTTGTTTTTTTGCCTCATTGTATTTGCGTTTTTTTTGGCGCCGTGTCTCTTAGATGCCTGCTGCTTACAGTCTGGCACCTGGTTGCTACCCTTTCATAACGCCTCGGCCTTACCTGAGCGCTGTGGGGTTACACACTCATAAATGTCCTTGGCAAGGAAAAAAGTATAGGCAGAGAAACACCACCACACACTTCTGGTTGGGGTCATAAGTGATGATTTAGAGGGATCACTACTGTATGAGTCAATACGTTGTTTTTTAGGAAAATCCTGCAAAGTATATCTTTAAAACCTGCAGTCATTAACATATGATAATCTAAAATGACAACAGAAGACGATTTAATTTAAATGGGGACTGTATTAAGGGATCTATACATACTAAATCTCAGCTACACTCATATCCTTTCACTCATTCAAAACCATTTATTTACATATTACTCACTTACCACAAAATAAACCAACTCATAATGCCACAACAATTACATGCACCATGCCTTGTCTGTGCCTGGCGTATAATTCAGGCATTTTAACTGTACAAATGTCATCATAGTTGGACCCAATGCTCAGTTAGGTTAACCTTACATATTCACCAAACGTACCAAAAAGAGGGAGTGGCAGACGGCTCCTATCACTAGACTGAAAACATATAAATGTATGAGGTATTTGTGATTTATCCCACCAGGCAAATCTCATAATGTGAGGCGGATTAAGTGCACTTCAAGGTCTCTACGTTCATCCAATAAGGTGAACAGGAACAGGCAGCACAGGACTAGTCCACTTAAAGTCCATTTCAAGAAGATGGTGGAGAACTTTTACTTTCCGACAGTGAAAGACTGCAGTCCAGTGATGGCTCTGCCCAGGATCAAGGCATGAATGTCATGAGTTCCTATAAAAGAACAATGAAAAAATAACCATAAACAAGGCGATTTCATGTAAACATATTCACTTTGAACATATAGTGTGAATTTGATCAAACATATAGCTCTGAAAAATCAGCCTGTTAATTAACATGCCTCTGTAATAATATGTGCATTGTTGACCTCTAGTGGTGGCTCTACATAATTGCAGCTAAAGTTTGCAATCCTTCTCACTGGAATTATAGCCCTTTTTACACAGAGATTCTGCAATAGGGCTGCAAAAAAGACCCTCAACTACACCAGCTTCGTGTTTTTTTTACGTGGCACAAATCAACGCAGGCATCATGCCACCCCAGTGTGTGATTTTAGATAGTATGTCAGTGTTCTGGAAGCAAAAGAGGCTAGATGGGCATGACGTAACACAGCAGAGTGAGCCATATAACATACGTTTCAGGCAGCACTTTCTAAATAGTAAAAATGGCATGACATGGCAACAATAATCAATTAGTGTTTATGGAGGTTGACCTTGCCCTCTGCTCAGAGACTAAAGGGTTCCCAATTTGCTGAAATTTTCAGTTGCTTTTCTTTTTTGATTTAGCTGCAAACTGCTGTTTGTTTGCTGCTTTTAAAGCTACTGGTGGTGGGTCACACAAATAACATGTCGTCAAAATGTCACACCCATCCCGTCCTCCTGGCTGTTCCTTTTACACAGACAGTGAGTCAGCGCTGTTAGTTCATACACTGCTGGCTTGAAGGCGAGACAACTCTGTCTCCCTATTCCATAATTGTACCTTTTATACAGAGCGGAATAACAGCGTGACATTCCCACTTTGGACAGGCAGTGTAAAAGGGGCTTATACCCTCTGTTGTTACTTTTGAAAATGTTAAAAATGAAGACTAGATGTGTACCTACCCTCGTATGTGTTGACGGCCTCCAGGTTCATTACGTGACGGATTATGTGGTACTCATCTGCAATGCCGTTTCCTCCCAGCATGTCTCTGGCTTGTCTGGCAATATCCAAAGCCTTGCCACAGCTATTCCTCTTCAGCATGGAGATCATCTCTGGTGCTGATCTGTTAGGTTAAGAACACAGAAATGTTTTTTAGTCAGAGAGGACCAGCAGCTAACAAGCCCAAAACAAACCTGAAAGAAATGTGAAGACAGAAAAAGCTTACTTCTTCTCATCAATAAGTCTCCCCAGGGTCAGACATGACTGCAGCCCAAGGGTGATCTCTGTCAGCATATCAGCCATTTTCTTCTGCATCAGCTGGTTCCTGGCCAGCGGCACCCCAAACTGGATTCTGATTGGAGGGTGAAAAGATATGAAAAGCTGAGGCTGGCAAAACATGAGGAGACAATCTGGATATATATATAGTAAGGTAATGCTCATGTTTACACTTTTTCCACTGGAGCTAGATTTTTATGCCTGTAAGGTCCTCTGACCTTTAGTGAACACACATACTGCAGACAGAACATCATGTACCTGTCCAGAGTGTACTGTCGCGCAGCGTGGAAGCAGAATTCAGCAGCTCCCAGAGCTCCCCATGCAATGCCTTACCGGGCGTTGTTCAAACAGCCAAAGGGACCCTGATAGAGCAGGTCAACAAAAGGAATGTAAGATATTAGCACACAGTCACATTAATGTTGTAATATTAAAATTAAATTACTTTGGTTTTGTTGGAACTTGATCTAAGGCCCCAAATGTTGCCTTGTTTATGACATCTCACAAAAGAGACACTGACATCTCAAGACAAAAACTCAATTTTCCCTATCTACATGTCAACAGTTAATTTATACTTAGTTTCTGCAAAATTTCACCCTGGACAAAATTGTACAAGATCTGTTTTCAGTGGCCTAAAATGTAGACAAAAGACCAAAAGGCATAGAAAAGCTATGTTTCAAATATACTCATGTGTATGTGGACAAGGCCTCAGAGAGAAGTCACTTACACCAAGACCAGAGATGTTGGGCAGTAGGTTCTCCTGGGGAACTTCCACTTCATCCATCAGGATCATGCCGGTGGCAGACGCCCTCAGCGAGAACTTGCCCTCAATCTTGGGAGTGGCGAAACCCTTCATTCCACGTTCCAAGATGAAACCCCGCACCTTGCCATCTTCACACTTTGCCCACACCACTGCGATGTCTGCCACAGGGGAATTTGTGATCCTAGCAGAGGAAGGAGAATAAGGACCAAGAAAAACATGAACTGCGTGATCACACATTAAGTATTAAAGTGTTGGTGCTCGCTATACACCCAAGTACTATTTAAAGTCTTAAGCTAAAATGCCAGTCTATCATTAAGCTAACCCAAAAGAAAGGAGCAGCAGAGAAGCTTCACTATCATGCTTGTCACAGTCTGAGTCAATAGAGACTCTTTGACAAAACACTCAATCAGGAAAACAAATTCATTTCATATGTATTCATCTACCTACCAGGTCTTGGCTCCACTGATGCTAAAGGTGCCACTGGACGGGTTGTATTTGGCCTTGGTCTCCATACTGCTGGGATCACTGCCGTGGTTGGGCTCTGTCAAGCCAAAGCAGCCCAGGATTTCTCCACGAGCTGCAGACAAATGAAAACATAAGGACAATCTTGAGACTGTCCTTTTGCCCTTTTTAAAATGTCACGCACAAAAGAAAAGAGTGTTGCTCTCACCGAGACGAGGCAGGTACTTCTCCCTCTGTGCCTCTGTGCCGTAAGCATTGATAGGGTGCATGACCAGTGAAGACTGGACACTCATGACTGACCGATACCCGCTGTCCACTCTCTCAACCTCTCTGGCAATCAAGCCGTATGCCACATAACTAGTGCCTGCACAGCCGTACCCTGCAAGGGGAAAGAAAACAGTGTAAAGTACAAGGAGCCAAACATAGAAAACACATGTAAAGGCACATAAAGAAATACTGCAGAACAAAGACATCCTTAAACAAAGACTTCAGTTAATCTTACATTCTGTGGGACAATATAATGATAATGTGGCTTTGTTTGTTACCTTTAATAGTTGGGCCTAAGACGCCCAACTCGCCCATCTCTGAGACAATCTCACGGTGGAAATCTGTAGCACGGTGCAAGTTGGAAAAATGGACACTGACAGTTAAATAATTATCAGGACAAAAAACACTTTTTGCATACCTGACCTATCTTAAGAAGAGAGTAAAAAGACAAAATCCAAACTGCCTAAATATCGTAGATTGTAGTTGCTCAAATGGCATTGCTTAGAAACATTTAACAAAGATGTAAAGATGCGAAGATGACAATAGAAAAAGAAGCAACAAAGTGATTGAGTGCCAAAAGGGATAAGGATATTACAAAACAAAAATGAGATAATATAAAATCTATATACACCTTTCACTTATACAGATACTGTATGTTCATGATTGATATTTGGCTACTGCATCAAACTGCGCCCCCCTAAGCATCTGTCAGGTTAGGGATGATAACTTGTAGAAATCTAGTGGCTGCTTGACAACTAGTGGCACCTTGAAAGTGTTGCAGGAATTATGTTTACTCGTCAATGTTGTCACTGTTAGCTAAAAGAAGCGAATTCAGGGGACAGCTTGGCAGTTAAATGTCAAAATTAATGGTGTATGGTTGAGGAAAAAATGAGGTCTCAGGCAAAATAGATTAACGCTTACTTCTACAGACCACAAAGGACAGACAAAGTGATATGTCTTATCTGCAAATGGGTGAATTTGGTGCTCATGGTATTTAGTGTTGAACACTATTATGTAATCATAAATCCTACGAGAAATGCATGGGTAAGGAGTGCAAATGTAAGGTTGAACAGTTTAAATGTGTCTTCTCTAGCCAACAGTCAGCCTTTGTAAATCTTGTGGAAAGTAATGAAGGTGTAAGGAAGGCAAACTGTGTGGTAGCTCACAGAATTGCTTGGCAGGGGTGCTCAAACTCCTGCCATACACTATGCATATGAATGGATGCCATATGCATAGATACCAAAAAAGTCAGTTCATGTTCTTTGCGTTCCACAAAAGGTAGTCCATGACACACACATAATTTCTCCGTGTGCTATGATCATGGCCGTGTGCTTCTCTTACGTTCATGTCTGTTAGCCATTAGGATGCGGGGCATGAGCTTTTCCTGGCAGTAGTCGCGAAAGGAGTCCCGGATCATGATCTCCTCCTCTGTCAGCTGACCCTCCAGATCCAGGGCGTCCCGCCAGTTGAATGGCACCTTGGCTGAGGGTCAAAACATGTACACATACACGTGCAGTGATTATGTCACTGAGACATGTGACAACACAGCACGTGAAAGAATCTGGACAGAGCAGGTGTAACTCATTACAAATTCACTTACGTGCCTTCGCTGGCTTTTTGATTTCCTCAGCATCTAAAAGGAAGAAAAATAAAAGTGTTAGACAAATTTTAAGTACTTACATCTGTGAGTTCTCTTTCTTTTTGGACAAAAATAAAGTGTTTCCTACACATAAATTTCCCCTAAAGACTTCCACTCCAAACATTATCTTACCATTTATGTCTATAAAGAGTAAATAAAGGATTTTAAATGTACCTTTGACAGCTGTAGCAGCTGTGCCCTGAGCTCTGGATGCAGTGACAGCAGCACATTTTTGGCTGTTGGAGAGCAGACGGGTGACAACACCTCTGAGAGCCATTATGTCCTCTGATCACAGGGAAACAAAGAAAATATAGTAAAACAGTGTTATTTATAATATCTATAAACAGACGGAAAGCACATTTCAGTTTAAGATACATTGGTATGAGACAATGTGGTAAGTTAAGTTGGCAGAGCAGTGAAAATCAGTTTCCTTGATTAGCTATGTACAGTATTTTTAGCAGACACCCAAACACACCTTTTAAATTTGAAGATTATTATCACTCCTGGACAAAGGAAAGTGATTTGGGGATCATTTAAGCACTGGGTTGGCGTACTACCTAAAATGCTTCATCAGGAAAAAGATAAGTAAACTGTTGTCTATTTATAATGATTGCCAATCAGAGCAAACAGCATGCAGTCCCTTTGTGAGAAACACTCATATATCCTGCAGCAACCTGTTCGTGCAACAATGTTACACTTAGTTGCTGTTTTTTTAGGAAATCATCCAGTTGCACAGTACCTGTTTCCTCCGATGGGTTTATCTGATGATCCGATGACTTTTTCAGCGCTGAGCTGAGCTATAAAAGTTGCTTAAGTAACATTTCGCCGGTTGCAACGTCAGAGGGATACATAACGTGAAACATGGACGCTCCTCTCCTCCATGTCAGGTGAGGCAAAAGACGCTGGAGCCTATGCAGAACCTATGGTTGTGCAACACATTGAAGTTATGCAACTCAACTGTGCACTGCCTTTAACAGTGGGATAATAATGATATTGAATTTATTAGGAGGCGCTGTCTGTTAGGAGTGTGTGATGCTGCTCCATGTGCCGTGTGTAGCTAAGTATTTTCCATTGTAGTAGGCGTGGGAATTAAATTTGCAACGCACTTCCACACTCAAGATGGCGCATATAGATTGCTGTGCAGCCGGAGGGAGTCGGCCCACGCCCTTCCTGCTCATTGGCTGGTAAAATAAGGAGCCATGTACAGAATGTGAGAGGGACAAGATTTGTAAGTGACACTATAGATGACAACACATCAACAACAAGCACACTAACAATAATCATATGATATAATCCTAATGATGGTGTTAGGGGTAGCTCCCTTGATGTGCCCATAATGTAAGGAAAATGTTATGTAGGTGATTTATTTAAGGAAGCAAAGAAACTCACCACATCAGATTTTTTTACTATTAAATGTGGAAAGAGAAAGACAAATCATAATCACCTTTATTGGCCAGGTATGTGCACATACAAGGAATCTGACATGCATTTTCCTCAATGTACTTAGACATAAATAGACAAAATAGCTACAACAACAAAGCTGCACAAATAATGTAAGACACAGACAACAACTAATATCTACACAGGCATCTGAAAGAATAGGTGTCCATATAAATATAAGAGCACCAATGACCAACAATGAAAATAGAATAAAAAATAAAACATCTGTACACAATTTGAGGGTTCTGTGGGTTGTAAACTATAATTAGTGCAAAGAAATATAATAATAAGCCTGGCTGAATATATAATGCATGCACTGGATGATTACTGTAAAACTTCAATTAGTAGCTCAGGCTATTATTTGCTTAAATTACTCAAATCAACGGGCCTATATTTGGGACAGACATCTATATGGGACAGGCCTTTAATTCCTTTCACACGAACTGGTTGCTGAGCAAAGATGGGATATGCAATCAAACTGTTTGTTAAAATTAGGCTTCAGATAATATATTAATTATGAACCATACATTTGATCTAGCTCCAACAGACAGCGCATCAGAGAGAAAGTTACAGCACTCGAGGATTATGGCACAAGGCACAACACCACTTTATGGTGTTATAATCAGTTATTAACATGAAAACAGTTGACTTTACTGAGACAGATGCCACCAGGAAGCGCCGTAACACATATTTCATTTGAGCTGGTTAAATGCATTCATAATGGTTTTCCTAAGAAATCTGCTAAGATTTCATACCTTTAAATTATTCACTATTTTACAGTTAAACATGACAGTTTTCTGGGCCCATAGGTGGGGCTGAGCAGTCACCTGTCAAGTTCACCTTCTGGCCACTTGGCTTATGTAAACACATGTGATGGTCTTTCCTATATGTTTGTCCATCAGAGGAAGTTTTCAGTTTTGCTGGTGTTTTATGGAGTGTATTTTTAGTTAAGTTTTTTATCCAGCACAGATTTGCTGTAGTGCTGTCTGTAAGAGCCGAGTGGAGCAGCACAGAAAGTGGTAGGTCAGTCATTTCTCTGCTATGACCAGTTTCACTTCTTATGAAAGTGTGTTTCCAGATGGTATACGTGTATCTATTATTTACTCTCATGTCAGGAATTTGAATGAATAGTTTTTCCGCATAAAGATATACGGAAGTAAAATCAGCTAAATGCAGCCTATTGAAGGTAGCAAAAATGGTGGTGATGAAGAATATCTAGAATGTTGCATAACTTGTGATCAGCATTTTAAGATGTGGTCAATGCTGAGCCAATTTTGACTAGGCTAACAATCTATAAGCTCACAATTTGTCATAAGCTGTGTTGTGGCAGTTCTACTTAGGACCCAAATGCAAACACAACCAGGAAACTGAATGGTTTGAGGCTATTTATTGTAGTTTGAAGAAGTGGAGCTGAAGGCTTTAATGAAATAGCTGAGGTAGTCAGGGAATGGTGAAGCAGAGCAGGCAGATTAGTTGAAGGCAGGGCAGTCCAAATCTGGAGGCAAAAGACGAGAACAAGGCTGGACATGGTGGGTCATGGTTGAGGCTGGCGTGGTGAACTTGAGGCACAGAACAAAGTGGGAATTGATGTCCAAAAGGTACAACAAGACTAAGAGGCCGTTTACACGTTGCCGGCTATTTTCATAAA